TAGGTCTGTCAGGAGACTGTGTAACGTGACAGAGGGCGCTAGTCACCAGCGCGGTGCGAAGTTATAGTTGACCTTCTGCCCAGTAACAGAGGCAGTGTATAGGCGCGCATAGCTGTGTGTTAAGCGAGTGCGGTGCATAGGCTCGGCCTTGTGCGTTGTGCGATAGGGCAGCGGAAGTCACTGCTTGGTCACGTGAGTGCGAAGGCTATAAAACGCGCGCGCAGGCAAGGTTTAGTCGTCCTGATCAAGGGCTGATCCTGAAGTAAGGGTCGAGAATCCTGTGCAAGGGTTAAAGTCACCTAGCCTAGTGTGACTGTGCCTAAGTCCCGAGTGGTGTGTGTGTCGTTGAGGGGCTCGGTAGGTTGAGGGGCTAATTGGTGGTGCGGTATAGTTCCTGTTCGGAGCTTGCAGTCGATGCAAAGGCGGATTGCTATCTCGTGACGTGAGTTGCGTGTAGCGCAGCCCTGACAATAAAGCCCCGTAGACTTGCTGAAGTCCCCGATTCGGCACTGGATAATTGAGGTGTTCGCTGCTCTGGGTGAAGTCCGGTCACGTATAATCACACAGTCTCCCCGTCAATAGCGCCCTCTGCTGGTGTATTGGTTGAGTGTGTTGATGAATTATTAATTGTTGTATATAAGTCAGGTGTCCAGGCGAAGTTTATTTCAAGTCAGGTCTGTCCGGGTTACGTCACTAAGTTTCAGCCAATCAGATTAGCCATCATCTCGACGAAGACCCACTTTCTTGGGGGACGGTATACTTCGGTCCCAACGGACTCGTCCCTAGCCGCTCAGGGACTCTCGATCACCTCCGACGTGCCGTCCGACGCGCCGCGCGTCGAGGAGGAGGGCGCCCTCGCCTTCGTCGGAGGGGGGCGGCGTTACACTATGTATAAGATTCACTCACACAAATACTTGCGCTCATACACACATTTTCATAACGGTATGCGTATACACTATCACTCATGGCCATGTCGGCCATGCACATACATGTAATTAAATGTACTTCACGTGGGCTATCCATGCCCCATTTCTACGATGGCACTAACCAAAATTATGCCTTAAAAATCACCACTTTGAGTTCTCAGCTTTCCTGAAATATACCACCAAACTGGTCTATAATAATGTGCTGTAAAAGTGAGGTACTTTACAACTGGCAAATATCTCTATAGGTAACGAAATGACTGTAACAGTTGTGCAGGCACTGCCTTGCCAAAGCATGGTTTGAGAAATGTAAGATATGACGCATATCTTGCGTTACATAATTTACTGGGGACAACATGAAAATGGGTGATTCCGTGAACTACGCGTACATAGTTAAAACTCGCCAGAGTTAAAGGTTTTTCACATCTAAACAGTGACTATGGCTAAAACTGGTGATGACAAGGTCAGGTCAATGAGTGAGAAGGTGGTTACAGGAATTTTTAAAATTCTTTTTTAGAAATTAAACAAATAATTGAACAACAATGGGGAACTGAATGGGCATCTCTACATTAGAAAGCGTGCAAAACAGGCTGAAACACTCCCAACCCGCTGCACAATCAGAACCCTGGGTAGACCGGCAGAATCGACTGCTGGCCGTAGATTAGGTTTTTTTCAGACTAGGTTTCCCGCCGGTTAGATTTCAGCGGGCGCTGCCGCCCCAACGCCCGTGGCCTAACCGTGTAGGCCAATTTAACCACCTCGCTCTGGCCAAGGCCCGCTTGGCTCACCGTTTCCAGCGCCGCACCCGGGTTGGGCGGACGCTCTCCCGGTCCCCCTCTCCACCTTGCCCCACCGCTCCCTCCAGATCTCACGGATGCATAAATCTCACCTTCCTCAGCTCTAGTTCCCGAGCCTGGGCATTGGGGACCCTGCTATACGGTGCACCATGTTGGGGGGGGGTTGCCACACTATGTATTTTCTGTAATAGGGCCGAGCATCTTGGAGAGACCTCTCCCGATAGGCAAACTAGGCAGTGGGGGTTAAGGTCGAAAAGGCTCTCATTAGAAAGCGTGCAAAACGGGCCCAAACACTCCCGACCCGCTTCACACCTGAGGGCCCTGGGTAGCCCGGAGAAGCGATGGACCGCATTGACCATCAGCCTTTCATAAATACGCGAAAAATACAAGTTTCTCAGGTGTTCAAAACACACGGTATACCAAAGGTCATCCCCTCGTCTTTTCTTTTCCTTTCAATATTTAGTTGCTTATCTGATGCATTTTTCAGGTCATGATTTTTATCCACGAAGGATCAATCCTAAAATTTTTCATGAAGCCTGCAGCCATTTTGTACAGAGATGCCTACACTCCATAGCAAAAACGATTATTTAGGGCACCGATTTTATCAAAAATTCACTCGGACCCAAGCCGACATTCCTGTGGCTAGTCTCCCCCTTTCTTCCCCGACAAATTGTCAAATGCTTGAGCAACAGAGAAACTGACAATATACAAATTGCGATTTAGGCGGCGCAGGCAATTTTGAGCCTATTTACTACTTGCATGCTCTGAACCAATTCAAGCTCCCTTGAAAATACACGTACTGTAAAATCAACAAAGATTGGAGCCCTATGGCAGGTACTTAAGTCCCTGATGAGGCCTCTCAAACAAAAACAATGTGTTGTTTCGTCCTTCATAGTTCATTTGATTTTCAAGTTTTAGTAGGTTAACCTATGAATTTTTTATTTATCCGCCCAAAACAAACTCACCCCCCCCTCGTGAATGTTCCCAAGTCTTCTCAGCGGTCATTTTTCAAATAACACCCCTCACCTTCGGAAGGTTCTTCTGACAAATTGTCAATCACATTTTATCTGTTTTGCCCCCAGATGGGTGTCCCTGAATCTACAGAGATGATTCTGGAACACACTGACATAGTCCCACCATTTCTTGATCCAAACAGAGCCCTCTTTGCGAAAAAATCTGCAGGGGGACTTTTTGTGCGCCTCTTCTGGCGGAGAATTTTACTTGAATTGGAACACGGCATCCCAAGCCCCCGGCCCCGGCCCCGGCCCCGGCCCCGGCCCCAGGCGTTCAGCTTATTTGCATGTTAAGCTGGCCGCGGGAGGTCGCTGTTCGCCTAGATTTTTCCCACAGTTGGTTCACGAAAAACAATGGTGCGAAGGTAACTAATTCATGGTGGAAAAATAGAGCTCGCGTGGGGCCAGGCTGATACAGCGATAGTATTCAGCAGTACAACGACGAGCGCTTCCTTGGCCTACAATTACAATGTAGGCACATGTATATCGGGGCGGGGCGAATGCACTAGGTGAGAAATTGAAAACAGATTTCATTAGCCTAACCATGGAGAAAGGACGCAAACTTTCTCCATGGATTAACGTTACATCATTACGTGTATTGCATTATTATGAAATAGATATGCATTTTTTGTACATGTACATATCAGCCTATGGAATGTTGGACATCTCGTACCCGGGGCAACGCGTACCCAGGACAATTCGTAACCCCAGAGAAAACTTCATTTTATCATAGCTTGTGGTGAAAATACATGAAAATTATAGTACAGCATATCAAATGCGGTTTACGATTACTAATAATGTAGCCGTTTTTTTGTGTGTGTGTGATCGGATAACTGAGCCTGTTTGAAATTGTTGTGTGGTAGAAACAAGAACCATTCATTCTTTATTTACCACATAGGCCTAACTGTTATGTCATGAATAAGCAAATAAATGTACAGTAGATGGGTGATCCCAGGAAGCAAAGGCTTGTCGAGCACGATCCTCCAGTACATGAATTAACATTACATATTAACACATAACAGACCTAATACACATACAGTAACCCTGTGAGACACATTAAAAATGAGACTAATTAGAATCTACATAAGGAGAGAGTAATTTAGCCTTAAATTTCTTTTTGAATAAACAAATATTATGTATACTTTCTATAGAAACTTCAAGGGAATTCCATAGTTTGGGTCCCTGATGCCTAACTGTATTTTGAGTTGCTGTGGTACAAGCAAAAGATTGATGAAATGTAGTGCACTGTCTAGTGAAGTTATCATGCACTTCATCGTTTCTTATCAACATAGCGTGGATAGATTCGGGTAACATTATATAATTGATGCATGAAGGTCCCGAGATGAAGAGAATAAATATCATCCAATTTAAGTGCTTTGCAATTATAAAAAAAGAGGACTACTGTGTTCGAGGTTCACATTAAGGTGGTACCGTTGATTATTCCTACGACCTTTTTCTGTAATTTAAGTATTCTGTTCGTTTGACCAACTCCAAAAAAAGTGCACTTTTTTCTGCACTCAGGTCAGAGTGGAAATATTACTTGAGAAGTTGTGTGACCCTTGCAAACTATGATCGTGAAGTAAGGAAATCTTTACTTTGCCAAATTTCTGACTTTTAGAAATTGTGATAGAATAGATGCTGAACTGCTTTGTCTATTGTAAAAATAACCTTTGTATAGTGGGAGGTGGGTGATAACAAATATACGTACATGTATGTATATTGTGCTGTCAGAAAATGGTGTGATATACCGGTAACTGATTAGGCTTTACTGTGGAGCAATGAGAAACAAAGACTAGAGCATCCCCAGGCCTGCCCAACCTGCTGAAAAGGCACTGCCCTTTTCTTTATAGTATTTACACAATCCTCTTATTTGGGAATAGGTTTGTAGAAAACCATTCTTCTATTGTACATGTAGTTACCACTTGAGATGTACATTATTTGGTAAATTATGTTTTCATTGCAAGATTACTTCATCATTGATGTGTGAACTAAAGCGTCAACATTAGTCAGCCTCAAACCAAATTAAACTTTCCAAAAATGAAACAAAATGAGTGAAACCCGTGAACAACAAAAGAAGAAGAAAAGGGATATGATTTTTTTTTATTTGGCTTCATTTTGACATAAACTCATAGCATTCTTTTCCTTTCTTTAGGTAATTCAGGTCCTAGGATTTTTAAATGTTAACATAAACAGGATAAAAATGATTGAAATTAATTCTGCTTCAGTTCTGTTAAGTACTAAGTACATGTAGTTTGGAATGTTTCTACATGTAAATCAAACAGGATGTACATGTACATTGTATACATGTAGAGTACTTAAAGTGGGGCCTAAAGTCTGAACATTGGCAGACTTAATTGTGAAAGAGACACTCCCTGTGATGGTTTTGATGCAGTTTATATTTTTACTATTACATGTACATGTAGTTTCTGTGTGGTAGAGATACTGATCTTGATGGCATATACTTCCTGTATTGCAGCCCACATGTTGGGAGGTCATGCTGGCACATGTACATATACATTGTACAAAGCAAAGAGTGCATGTTGACAGGAAGTTTTGTAGGGACCAGCCTATTTACGTGTATTAATGAAACGTGAGTTCTGGTGATGATCATAGGTGTTTCCTGTTGGCCCTTGCATGGATAAAGGACCTACATGTACATGTATTTCACCCTTGTCACTAGCTGGTGGTGGTTTTATAAGCAGGTTTGCAGATTTCCTGGTTTGAACGGTGCCATATTATTGCTGCTTGGATTCTGGATAATGCTGATAGGTGGGTCAGTTCTGGAATGACTCTTTTCTTTTTGATTGAAGTTGCAATCTCAATCTAATATATACATGTGGGTCTTTGATCATGAAGCTGAAAGTGTACTTACTAAAAAACTTGATAGAAATCAACACAGGACGAATCAACAGTAAATAAACAAAGATCTCACTCACATGTATACTTCATAACCAACAGTTTTGTCTTTATACATGTACATGTAGTTGTATTATACAAGGAGCCCATTTAGAAAACTGAGTCGTGTTAGAGAAAAAACACAATGACATGTATATATACTTATACTCTATGTAGTCAACATTTACGGTCTGCTCAACATGTGCATGTACCGATGCAAGAATGATAACCTACCTACCGAGGTATAATTGTAAATTACGTGTTTGCATATTGAATCAGTGACTGTTAGTTTGTGTTGGTGTTGGGTTGTTTTGGTTTTTTTTGGTTTTCTTTTTTTGTCACCTTATCACTCATTTGAGGTATGGTAATTCTTTCTGTAGAGGGGTGTACATTGTAAAGTGGCATCTCCAAATACTGGAAAGCTACACTGTGTTTAGATACAGTACTGCCATATGTATGCCATGTGCTGTTCTTTAACATGGTAAACAAGTCTGGGCAAAAAATTGATTTTTCAGTGGGTGATGAAACATTTATTTCAAACATGCCTGTCCAAACATGTACATGTACATCAATTTGTGTACATAATGCTTGTCTACATGTACATGTGTAGTACATGTACCTGTAGCATAGTTCATACAGTGAAACATCAAAGATGGGTTCAGAAAACAAATGACTGATTGTTTGGAATGTTTTAGGACTTTTCCAAGCCACTAGTTTTTCCTTAATAAAAGTCTTTTTTTGTAGATTTGACATTCATGTGACACACGAGCTTTGATTATGGAAAAAGCAATTGAATCATGGAGAAATACTGCAGGAACATTGTAATTTTTTTTATATATTAAAGTTGATCATGACATTAAGATTATTTAATTTGTAATTCTTTGATACATTTACAGTGAAAGGATAATGGCAGAAGCATTTATGTACACGTTACCGGCATTGAGAACCTGTCCATTTCCATTCCTGCATAGTGGAAGAGTATCATCAGCGCTGTCAATAATCATCCTCCTTTGTCTAGTCTTGCCATCTTGTGCTTTAAATCAACGACTTGTAGACAAGCTTCTTCATTTCAGTTCTCCAGAGGCAGACTTACAGAACTTTGTCATCCGTGAAGATACAGGCGAGATCTATCTTGGTGGAACAAATAAGTTGTACAATCTTTTTTCCAACCTTACCAAGAAGTTGAAGTTGGACACCAGAGTGGAGGGAATCACTCACTTTTGCCCAGCTGTGACAAACTGCCCACAACTACAGGGAGACAACATCAACAGGCTTTTGCAAATTGATTATGGGAATAACTTGACCGTGTCTTGTGGCAGTGCATTTGCTGGCACCTGTGCTCTGCTTGATTTAAATAACTTCACAAAGGTTGTTGATTGGCCAACATCGGCTTTTGAAACTGATGGTGCACTGACTGAGGATAGTCTAACCCTAGGAGAGACAGTTGTTTCGTTTTATGCGCCATTCCAGATTGGTAATGATGGGCCAGAAACCCAAGCTCTTTACGTTGGCGCTACATATAATAGTGATGCCCTGTACAGTAATATCGGTCAACACGCTGCTTCTGCAAAGAAACTTGTGGAGACAAACTCAGGGGAGTGGCATTTCTCATTTGCATACCGAGATGTTGATTACCATCGGAACTCCTCCATTGATATTCGACCTCGTTACAGAAATAACTACAAAATTAAGTACATTTCTGGGTTTAATTCTGGAGGCTTCAATTACTTTACAACTGTACAGCGCACAGAAATTGATAGCAACAGATATCATTCACGCATTGTGAGGATTTGCACGAAAGACAAAAGTAAGTACCTGTACATGTAATTATTAAACCAGTTTAAATACAGACTCTTCATTTTTAGCAGAATTCTGGGAAGGAAATATTTACCACATGATCCTGAGCAGCCAATGTGAAGGACAATTTTCATAGACGTGTAAATTTTAGCATTTATTTTGGAACCAAATTTCTGCAGAAAGTTGAAGTCTTTGGGGAAACCAGAAAAGTAAAAGCTGTAGATAGACATGAAGATTGAAAATATCCCCAGAACCAGCACGTTATGCCAGCAGTGTTGTAGCTACGCTGGCCGGCGCCGGCCAGTGCTAGCCACCACTCAACATTACGGGCCGGCACTTGGGATGAAAACGAAGCTTACTGGCCAGCACAAAGTACAATGTGTACTACATTATTGTACGTGTAATTTTTTTTAGCATTGAGAAAGAAAATGGGCTGCTTTAATTTTTAAAAAATTGTCAAAAACAGCCTACACTAAAAACTCCTAGCTACAACCCTGTATGTCAAGTCATGGTGTACAGATACCTGTATGCACTAGGATGGTGACCGTTACAAAATTTATATTCCCTCAGAAGAAAAATCAGGAAGATAAATGCAAAATTTGATATGGCAGACAAAGAATATGATTAAAAGCATTAAAAGCTGTGATGAGAAAACTCCTAAATCAGCTGTTGCCTTCAAGGACGCCAGACATTCAGCATTTGCAGGCATCTTGTACATGTACAATGTAGCTTCCTAGCCTGGTTGTACATGTGCATAGATGTATTTAACCTTTTTATTGGGATGTAATTCATTTTGGCAATGAACAGAACCCTAGCTGTGTGCTCAATGGTGCAATTTGTTAATGAACGGAACCCTAGCTGTGCGCTCGTGACTTGTGCAGGGATATTTGAGGCCCTCAATTTTTTGGGGCGGGGGAGACTCTCAATTGGTTCAGTTAAATACTGACCAAGATGGATTATTACCAGATATTTTCCTTCTCTTATTTCTGGGAGGCATCTTGAGCAGGGGGCCTGTGCCCTCCCCCCGTCACTGTGTACCATGAACATAACCATTTCAATTCTCCGTACTAAAGACACTGTGGCTGTTCCTCATGATTTTGGGCAAGCTTTGGGGGAATTCTTATTGTTATGTTTAATGTGTAATCACATAACTTACATGTAGGGTACCAGATTTTATTCAAATTTAATTTGCAAAAAAGCTTATTGCCGCATTGAAAATTGTTTTATCAGTAATTTTTATTGTTCTAGCTGCTACCTCAGTTACAATTTTAGTGTCTGCTCAACATTTTTTACCAACAGGCTTTTACTCCTACACTGAAATGGAACTTATTTGCAATAGCCAGGCAGGAAATGTTTACAACATCTTGCGGGCGGCTTATGTTGGCAAAGCTGGTTCTAACCTGGGCTTTCCTATTGGAGAGGACATACTATTTGCCATTTTTTCACCAAGCATTTCCATGGAGTCTGAATCTGGCAGTGGTATGTTGGAGTCTGACCAACCAGGCACAGACTCAGCCTTGTGTGTATACAGCATGAGTAAAATCAACAAGCGAATCAAGAAGGGACTGCAGGAATGTTTCAATGGAGATGGAACTCAAGGATTGAGGTTCCTGTCTGACGACCGTTTATGTAATGAAGCCGTGGTAAGAAACCTGGAAATAGAAATAAAATGGATAACTTATGTGCAATATTTCAAGCCAATATGGGCTAGACACTGCATGCTCATCTGTTGGACTTACTAATGTTGCTGTTTAAAAACATTTGAATTTTAAAAACTGCAGCAAGTACATGTAATAATGTAGAGCATATCATTTGCTTCTTTTCATTTTGATTCACCACTGCTACAAAGCATCCTTATTTAATCTATGGTTATATAGTTTTGCAGACCTGCCAACATGCTGTACTCCATCCTGAAGTCAGGCATTACCACACAATAGATTAAAATTTTGAATGAAGCAAAGGTTCATTTAAATACCTTTTAATCTATTGTATGGTAATGCCTGACCTCAGGATGGAATACAGCAACGTTGGCAGGTCTGGTTTTGACCTTGAGGGAGGGTTGGTCAGTTCGGAAAACAGGGGGAGGGTGGATTAGTATCCTGACCCAAGAAGTCACAAGGTGGTATTTTTTCTCATTTTTCTGGGGTAGAAATTTTTTAGTAGGGTTTGCAACATGAAAATAGTTGGGTTTTTCCTCAGAGCTAAAAATAATTAAGGGTACATGTACAATGGAAATGAAAATCAAAGAATTAGCTATCGACACCCTTATGTAAAACATTTGAATAAATATATCACAATGAATTTTTTACTGGACTGGACAAGTTTGTGGAGGTTCCTCGTAGCTGGCTTATTTATATCAAATGAGCAGCAGCTTTCATAAACAGACATGTTTATTAAGATGTAATTTTTTTCCTCAAGCCTTCCTCAAGCCTTTGGAAATCACTGAGTAGTCAGAACTATTAGTGAAGGACAGTTAAAAATCTGGTACAGTTGCATGTTCATTTGATCTTTGCTGTATTTTATATAGATATATCTTTTGGTCTCAGGCCTGTTATATGACTTACAATAAATTAAGAACACTCACTGAAAGTAGCCTTAGAATGTGATGTGCTCTTGTCTAGAATTTATGGTCCATTGAAGTCTATGCTTTGGTGAACATTTGTGCCACTGGTTCTTATGGGGTCAAGCCATTTTTCTTAAGGTACATTAAAACACAAATATATGTGTAGATTATTAATGTCTGCTTAAAGCTTTTAAGCTATGCCCTTTGTGAAATGCATAATGCTGTGCCTGATGTTTCTACTTTGTTCAACAGTATCGTCCAGTGGATGATGACTTTTGTGGCACTTCAGATTTGCAGCCAATAGAGGCCAGAAAGCCTGCTAGTGCAGCAGACATCTTGAGGGGTGGAGGGGCAGGAAAGTCATTTACATCTATTGCTGCTATGCCATTTGGTGATGATACTATCGCAGTAGTGGGTACCAAGGAAGGACATGTCTTAAAGGTGGGTCAAACTTGACTGTGATTAAGCCATCATGGATTTGTAAATTCTGTAACCGAAGCTTCACACTCAGTTTGTGAGTTGTCCAGGGGGTTGTCACGGTGATTTGCAAAGTGAACGTGACAGAAATTGCAGTAACTTAACAAGTGAAGGTTTCATGTCCATGCTGTGGACCTACATGTACTATGTAAAGGCACGCATTAGTGCATTCGCATGCAGTTTTAGGTTAGGTTCTGTAGGAAAACAAAATTAATACTGTTACAAGGTGATTGAAAATTTGTGCTGCATATTTGATACTGGACCAATCAAAAACCCATACATGTTCATTGTGCAAAGCAAGAACATGTTGAATTCTTAAATATGGGCATTTTATAAGGAATTATGATACCTCAGGCTGAATGAATGAGTCCCCCATCAGATTATTTTGCAATTGAAGTATTGGAAAAGGCACTCTGCACAGTTGGGGCACTTTAAACTGGCAAAGAACACCCTACAAACAGTGTGCACTTGGGGAACGTGAAGTAGCAACTCTTTGCGCTAGTACCCGGTGAACAAGATTTTAACTGCTGCTTGGAATGTGAAAATTTTGTGCACATTAATTTGGGTTGTGCATGCACTATGCTCTGCTTCTTAAACTGTACAAAATGTTAAGACTTATGCTGGTACTCAGTAATCTTCAATCTGCAAAAGCAATTCTCTTCCTCAAGTTCACACATCTTTTTTTTAAAATTTGAAGTCTCATTCGTGTATGGGTTGCAGTAAATAAGCGGCAGCCTTTTGCACATTTAATTTGAATGAATCTGGTACTGGTACACTGAATTCTTTAAATTCATGTGAACATAATAATTTGAATTCTTCATACTAAAGATAAATGCTGTTGCAATACCTCGTGATTCTGGGCAAGTTTTTGCTTAGTTACATTTACATGTACACAAAGAGACTACTTGCACTAATACACTGTTTTCAATGAAGGGCACAAAGGAACCAATCTGTTCCAGTGATCGCTATGCAAATGCTTGCCCTGATTCCCGAGGTACATATATAGCAACAGTGTCTTTAGTACGGGGAATTCGAATTGTTACGTTTATGTGCAATCAGATAACTCAGTGTACCAGATTTTATTCAAATTCAATTTGCAAAAGGGTTATTGCCACATATGTCCTCATTATCTGCCTTGTGAGTGTGTGAAGGGCACCCAGGCCCTCTGTGACACAGCAATGCAACCTCTCAATTTCACATCTTTGAAGCTGAAAAGTGAACTGTAATAAACAAATAGAGTGGGTAAATTTGAGCCTTTTCCCAGATGACTGAGTCAGTGGTTCTGCTGAATAAAGTCTGAGTTGTCTGTTGCTGTATCATGTTTATAAGGGCACATGTGCGTTCCATATTGCTACATATATTCTTGTGAGTGTGGAAATGCCATTTGTATGCTTACATGTATGTCTAGCTATTAGTTACATGAACATGTACAATGTAGCTATCATTGAAAGAAGGTACTGGTACATGTAACGGTATGTAGTTCACATTTGCTTCCAGTGTAAACAGGTACATGTAATGTACATGTATCCTGTACTTTTCTCAAAGTATGCATGTAAATTTTAATTATTGAATCACAGAGTTGTTGTTTAGTTATAGTCTGGTCACAAGTAACCGGGTGAAGAATGACAACAGAATTCCTTTGTCATTGTGCTATTCATATACATATGTAGGGCTTACAACTTTGCTTATGAATTGACTGACTTAACTTGATTGACCTAAGATGATGGACATGCTTGGACTTCACTGCTGAATCAGTATCTGTGTTACAAATTCTAATAAATTCAAATGTCACCTTACACGTATAACGTACATGTAATCCCCACAGACTACATGTACATACGTACATGTACATGTGCCATTTCCTGTTGCACTTTGATAGTTGCACATGTATGTGAGGAAGAAAACAGATTTTTTTGCAAGCGCTTACATTTTCTGGGCAGTGTAAAGCTTCATACTGCACAACTTGTTATGTCCCAATTCATGAAACTATAATAGCATGTTCTTCATAAAATGGACCAAAATGCAACTCCGGATGTCATTTTTCAAAACTTCTAAAAGAGTGACTTTGATCATGTAAAATACAAATTTGCACCTTCAGATTTATAAACATGATTATATGGGGATAATTATGCATAATATGTACTGATGGTGGACATTTGGTTGGCTACCAGTGCAAATCAAATGGAGTTGAATTCATTTAAAGTTTTACGTCAAAGTGTTTACATCAGAGAGCTTGATTTCAAAACTTCTCTCAACAAGTAGACTTCAGTATATTTTTTGACTGATTTATTTTAAAGCACTCAAGAAATAAAAAAAGAAAATTTAAAAAATATAAGCCACGAAAAAAAGAGCACAAAATTGACGTAAAATGATGAGAAAACTTTGGCTTTCTTCATTCTCTTACCGTTTATAATCACTCCCTCTATACCAACATATTTGCCAGCTAGGTCTTATATCTTTCGACCGCCAAATATTATCTTTAAGTTTGGCTGCATAAAAAATTTATAATGAGTACAGTATGTTCGATGTGAACGTTATATTTGACAGTATTTTAATGACGTTTGAAAATTTTGACAGAAACTGCATGAAGTTCGAAAATGCCGAAAATGCTGTCACATGTAGTGCTCGAAAATTCCATTCACGATTTTCATTTTGCCGGTTATTTTGGTTGGTTATTACTCCGCTCAAAATAAAATTAAAATTAACAACTCCGAGCATTAGATTTTCATCATGAATCGTATTTTATGTCTCGAACGTCATTTTTTTGCCATTCCGTGGAGGGGCTCATAAATATCGAATAAAAAAGAGGGCGCACTATCTGGGTTGATGTCAAAGGTCAAACAGGCCACGATGCAGTGAAATGTTTCTCTAACATCACCGCGAGAGATTGATGGAAGCCGCAAAATCGCCACGATCGGTATTTTGGACTGCGGTTTTTGGAGATGTACTTGAAGAAAATGTGATCGGTCCAGTCGTAAAAGGATGATGGTTTGGCGGTGCTTTTTTGCATTTTTTTTTGAAAGCTTGTGTTGTACATCGATATATGGATTTTACTCGCTTTTTTTGCAGGCAATTTTTTTGACACTAATGACACAATCAAATGACGTTCGTGACTGCCGACTGCAGGACGCGATTAATTGTGAGAGGTACTTTTTAATTTCGTGATTATAGTTTTAATATGTGAAAATATTATCACCTTTCACCTCTAAATCTGTGTAAAATAACCTCAGGGATTATCACTCCTCAATAAATTCTATTGGCTCGGATTTTAACATGGAGTTCATGTCCGTCAAAAATGCTGACATTTGAGACTTTATTTAATTAACTCCAATTAAGTTGAAAGGTTGACACGGTCATCATTGTTCCAGATATCAGCCATGACTTCCCTCATTACATCAAACATTGGAAATTAATTCACTGCTGTTCACTTCAGGAAAAATGAACCCCCAAAGTTGAACATTATCTAATAGTCCATATTTTGAGGATCCTGCCGTATGCATTCACCAGGTTAACATCACATGATGATATGTATGCCTTAGTTTTAAATTATATTGAAAATCAATGTGATAAGATCTAGATGTCTTTCACATTAAATTCTTGAGATCTGGTCACATTTGTTACTCGATTTTCGTACTTGTTTCTGATACCCTGCTTAGAACTTTAGCAATTTCATCAGGTACCATCTTTTAATCGTCCGAAAATAAGGACAGAATTTTCTATCTTGGAAGTTGGAGGATTACCTTCAAGTACAACAGTTTGTATAAAACCAACTTATTCATTTTGAGACTGAAAATACCACCTACAGCGTTAGCCGGAGTAATACCAAGGTCTCTTCAAGGTGGAAGCAAGAAAATATCCACTAAATTACCCTTTTTAATATCTGCATTGAATCAGAAGTGTGACAGAAGCCATGGAATGCTACCCAGTAGATCAATTTCCCAAGCATCACTGTTTCACCTCCCAAACAATCTTTCTTTGCTTTTATTGCACAATTTTTTTCACATACGATTGCAAAATGTCGTTTTTAACTTGAGTGGTGTGTTTACATGTCCATCAAACAAATTTGGCACATACATGTACATGTACAGTATGTGCTTCCACATGAAAATATTGAACAAAGATCATTCACAAGTTGAGCCTCAGATCCACCAATACCCCCTTTGATTGTACATGTACATGTTCCGTAATGTCATCCTCTGTGTTTTTGTTTGAAGTTGCTCTGTAGTTATATAGGCCATGGCCACATGTATATTCCATGTATTTAGAATTTTTTAATTGACTTTTGGTACAGTTTCTGTTACAGCCTCTGAGTTCATCTTCAGACTCCAACCTTCATTCAGGATTTCCATACAAGGACCTGGACTTGTCCAACAGTCCAATTCTTCCAAACATGGCCTTTGACAAAACCAGAGAGAATGTCTACGTCATGTCATCCCATGAGGTACAGATAGAATTAACAGCAATAGTTCCCAGTGAATTATACCCATCTGTGTTGTTGAAATGTCAGTTGTACATCACATCTTTCATGAATCCCCTGAAGATTGAACTCACAAGATAGGATGAGCTGCTGTGTTTCCTAGTAATTTTTTGAAACACGTTTTTGAATGGTATTTTGTCTGTATGGCAGCATATACAGTACATGTAACTGATTTTACACACATAAACTGTAATTTGTGTTGCTCATTTACGAAGAGAGTCATATCCTGTCTAAGTGGCAAAAATTCTTATAATGTAAATGCTTGACTTTTTAAAAAATCTATTTGTCCAGATTTTCAAGATTGCTGTCAATTCATGTGAGCACCATGTTGACTGCTCTGCATGCGTTGTAACCCATGATCCAAACACCTGTGGATGGTGTGGGTTTTGTTCAACAAGATCTGGTTGTTTAGAGCAAAGTGATACCTTGCCATGGCAACGAGATAGCTGCCCACCTGCAATATACAACGTAAGCAGTCTCCAAACACTCTTTGATGTTATTTGATCAAATATTTCTTCCATTATGTGTAAATTTCAGCATTGAATAGAATTAGGATACAGTGTAAGATAGCTTTCTTGCTAAAGTAACTGTGCAGTGTGCCCTAGTACATGTACATGTACATGTATGTACACGTATTATTTATGTTAATGTTTTTCACAAGAATTCCATTAACTGTGTTTCCATAAGAAAATTTAATATGTCTCATCAAAGTATAGTCCCTATGTTTCAATGAAACAATGAAATTCTTGTACATACATGTAGATCTGTCATGTTGGATTGATAGGAAGCTCAACTTACATGTAGCACTGGATGCCTACATGTACATGTACGAATATATCAGTCAGTGTAGAATCACAGTAAGCCTCACACTCACCATGTTAGTGGCTACATGCACATGTACCAGTACTGGTATGTTGACCCGGACACAGTCTGGCACAAATCCAGCGCCTAATGTATGGCAAGTGCCATTCAAAAGATTAAAGGTGGCACATCAGAATTTGTTTTTTTCAAAAAGGAGATCAAGGTTATTTTGTTGAACTACATGTATTTAATTTCCCTTATGACCTACTTCTATTGGTGTTAAAAAAAACAAACTCACCTCACCTATCAAAAAGTGCCGGTTTTTCCTTTTTTGTTTTTTCATTTTCTATTGATGTGATAACCAGGCCAAACTGACACGAAACAGTACTGGAGTGCCGTAATGCATGCGACTGAATCTACTGTACAACATACATGTACATGTACCCTATAAACGCACGTGTACTGTGTATACAGTACATGTACATACAGATCTGTGTGCAAGCATACATGTATATTTGGTGCAGAGTGTAAACAGCATCCCTTGACCATTATGCCTGAGATTGGCTGTCAATGAAATATATTAATATTGATATATGTGTCGGTGGGACTCGTTGCAGCTGTTCCTGTGTGTGTGGAAGTAGTGACTAACAAGCTCCACTATAACTCATTTGTAGCACACATTTCATTTTGTAGCTTGAAGTAAGGTTAGTAAATTTTTGCTTTTGCTGATGGAGGGCTTCGTGACATCTGGTGCGGGGCATGCAAAGTTCTTGTGTCATGCATTCCCGTGCAGTTTTGCATTGTTTTGTATGGGTTTTCAAATAACTTTTGGACATAAACTCATCGTAATATGAGTGCAACACAATTGTCCAAAGAGGTTCTGACTTTGATACACCCTTTGATAAGACCGATCCTCAAGTTAAATCTGTGGAAATGGACTGTAGATGTGACGGGCAGGCAACACAATGCGGTCCTCGCCAGGAGAATCCAAATGCCTGGACATGCGATGTAGATGTACTATACTGTACATGTACATGATGTATGCATGCAATGTGCATTGCATACATGTACATGTATTTCTAGAACTGAAATTTTGAAAACATGCTCAGATCAGGTGGGAAGAGTCAACTCACTCTACAAACCTCGACAGTTACAATTGTGGTATATACCTTTTTCCAGTGATGTCACGATTGTGCTGGACCTATGATGTGTTGTTATGGTAATGGTGCATAGTTTTGTGATGGTAATCTACTTATTCAAGATAAACTGGTCAAGCATGCAGCGTTCGTACGTGCGCTTACACGTGGTTGAAGCTGCCCATAGGAATATATGCAATCACCGTGGCCAAGGCAGTCCCATTTGGTGGTGTTGTTTACATGGTCTATGGTCTATACATGTACCTATTGCTAGTTCATTTGGAAAGAGTTCCATATACTGACAACACTTCATGCTTCTGTGCATAAACCTGTGAGACTTTAGTAAAAAAAAGAACCTGTTTTCTTAGTAAATGCCTCTGAATTTTTTCAGCTATTTTTCATTATTAGGACATTTTTTCATTTCCTGATAGCTGTAATAATATTTTAAGGGAAAATTAGTGTTATCTGTATATGTAGCTCAGTCCATTTGTTTTAACCTCTTCAGGAATTATAGACAAATATGAAGAAAAAGTAAAATTAAAATTAAGCATAGCCTAAATTGGAAGAAAAAAATAATCGTTTTTTTTGTTCCACTCACACCCCAGAGAAAAGCATTAAAAAGGAACAAAAAAATGTCACCCATAAATAATTTGGGTCCTGGACAGTTTATTTTTAGATCTGCCCTTGTACTTGTCAAACTCCTGGGTTTTCTCTGCCTTTTTGGTAAATATAAGGTTAATTGTAGATAACTTCAAGGTGTTGAGCAAATAATATCTGTGTGTCAGTATTTCTGTATGAGTATTTGCTTGATTTTTCCTCAAAAAGGCAATTTAAAGAGGGCAATTTGTTTTCTTATAAATTCTTTGACCTAAAGTTCTTTTTTCAATTGGTGTCAGCAATTGTAGAAGAGGCTCAAAATTTTCTGTACGGAAATTGTTGCCTTCATTTGGGAAGCTACTACTGCCCCTGAAAAAAGTGTTTTCTGGTTTCTCCTTGCTTCAACTTCCAAAAAATTTCAGTTGATGTCTTTAATACAACAAAAATAACTCTTGAGACTTTAGATATTATCTAAAGCTAGCAGATATTGCTTGCATTCATAATGGTATACAAAACTTGAGGCCCAACATTTTGTTTTGCTGCATCTTTTGTAGAGTAAATGAATGTGGTTTTGCAATCTAACAACTTCAAATAAAGTGACATTTTACAAGAAAACAAAACAAAACTAGAGGTTTTACGGTTGTTAAAATGACCGCAGGCTGTTTTGGCATATTTGAGAAAGCATTAAAAAAAATAAAACTATGGAAATATCAGAAGGAATATAAAAATTGACATTTCATGAATGTTACGTATTTCAATCTGATTGACAAGAGTGCCGAAGACTTGTTCTTCAAAACATGTACAAAACTTTTTGGGGACGATTATTAAATGTTCAAAAATGCCCTCCCCCCAAAAATGGTTGATGGCTGAAATAAATATTGAAAAATCACTACTGAATCAAATAATGACATCATCATGACGTCATAAATTTAGCAAAATTCTTTTATCGCTGTCTTTGTTCGCTGGCACTTTGATGACGAGCAAACTTCAGGAAGTAACCAAAATGGTGGCTTGAAAACATCAGGTCAATGTTCCTCTAAAGCACTCCCTTTTCAAGATATCTGCATGATTTGAACCCAATAGGATATCACCTTCAATTTATATTGTAAGGGGGTTTTGTCGATGCTTTATGTGTGTGAAAAAGTACGCCAGTTATGCACTTCATGCAGCTGACTCCTATGCTTTAGTTGTCATGTCATGGACGATTCACGCTTATATCTCTTACGCTTGATTTTTTATTGAATTTGGAAGATAAAGGAAGTTTTCATTGTAACTTCTGATCTGAATTTTCAAGCGATTCGGACAAACTTCGCCACAGACATCTAATCAAAATTCATTTTTTGGAATTTTTAACCTGTCGCCAGAGGGGGCTCGACAATTAGGTGACGTCATCAGTAGATGCTTTGGAGAATACTATACCCAATAGACTAACACCGTTGAAAACAACTTGATACCTATTACTACTTTTAAACAATAAGACCGGTTTCGACTGGAAGGAAGGGTCACTTGATTTGACCCACAGGAGATGAATTGAAGACCCAATTTTATTTTGGCACTTTCTGCAAACAGAATTTTGCGGGAGGCCACGGTTGATTTTATTTGGATTTTTACAACATAAACATAATATGTAAATATTCAAAATTTAATAATAAATCAATTGGTGACATTATCTTTGCCTTAAGGTCTGTGCTTGGTGTAACTTTGACGAGGATCAAAGATAAGTTACCCAAATGGTGCCTCGAAATTGGGTACAAAGTCCATGAGCTGAAATGAATATTAAAAAATAAATAATAAGTCACTTGATGACGTCATCATGACGTCATGCTTCTAGACACATCTATACACAAAGGTCCTTCATTGATGTAAATTTGATGAAGATCCAAAGCTGCTAAGAGATCAAAGTCAGTGGTGGAAGAAACGTGTACAAAACAAAGGGGATTGGGGTCAGAAGAAGCACAAGAAACTAGAGGAACGTGGTTGTGAACAACCACTGAGCTGTTTCGGAATTTTTTGTTATCTTTATTTTGTTGGAAAACAGATCAAACTAACTGTTAGGGAAAATGTGTTTGAAATTCTCACAGCAATTCCCAGGCGAAGCACTGTACTGGTAAAATCAACAAAAGTGCGAAGCGAAAAACGTGCACGAACCCTATAAATCAAACTGAAACTTTAACCTCATGTCACATGGCTCCTGATGATGTCACCGTGACAATTTTATTTTGACAGCCCCACGTGTCGTTGCACTACCTGTGCTACCAACACAAAGTCACTGAGATGTATGAGTGGACCAGTCCTTGACGTTAGAAGAAACAAAACCAATGGAGAAAAACTGCAGCTTTAAAGTCATGTCATGTGTTTGCGTTAATACTGAAAACAAATTCTGAAATATTAGTTGATATTGGGGTTCATGGGTGTATTTGTAATTGAACGAAGACAAAAAAAATATGATTTTTCTTTTGTTCTCATAGTAATTCTCAGCCGAAGTTCAGGAATACCCTCAATAAGATCGATAATATTGCACAGTAAAAACGTGTACAAAACCTATGGGGAAAAGTGCAGCTTTAATCTCATGTCACGTGAGGTCTGATGATGTTATTTTGAGGATTTTTTTTGGGGAGCCTCTCTCCTTGTGAGGGACTTCTAGTGTACAAAGTCAAGGGGCTGAAAAAATATTGAAAAATCAATACTAAATAACATGATGACATCATCATGACGTCATTTACTTACAATAATTCTTGTATCAGGGTCTTTGTTGGCTATTACTTTGATAGAGATCAAACATTGCGAAGGTTTGAAAATAGTGGCTTGAAAACGTGTACAAAGTCAATGGGAAAAAATGAAATATTCAAAATCCAAAAAGAAATCACGTGATGATGTCATCACAAATTTCTTTTAGGACAATCCTTGGATGATTGCCTAAAGGTCTGCCAAGTT